AACAAAACAAAATGATGTTCGGATAAGGATGAACAATTGCCCATTCGTGTGACAAAGTTCAATGTTCTTTGCCGAGAAGTTCAATGTTTGTCAAGCTTGAGCACTTGACAAGTTTTATATAATTAATCTGATCAACCAATCACGTTCAACCAGCTCCAAGCTAAGTGGCAAAGCAAACTGAAACCATCAAATGTCATCACAAACACAGAGTAGATACAGTACATACAGAGTTGTAACTGGTCATCGTAAACACTGTGGAAACTTACGTTAAAAAAGATCAAAGTCTGTGCATGCTCGCCAAGTTCAGCAAGCAGCTATGCACCTATTTACAAAAGTCAGGCGCACCCGATTAGTCGGAATATCATTAATATTTGACGCGTGCTAGTCTTTCTGAAAGCGCGCTCATTCGACGTGTCACGTTGGAGCTATGTCGGAATATTTCAATTCAAACATTTCTACGGAAAATTCGGAAATGTCTGCTACTATTTGTACAACGTAGGTGTACTACGTAGTACTTACGAAACGGTTCAATCCGCATTTGCGGTGAATGATTTGCTGCGGCTGCCTTACAAGATTGTGGCGCTGATCTTGGGAGGAAAATCGACGCTATATCGGCAAGTTCCGTTGAACAGTTGCCAGTCGCCATGAGTAGCATGAACTACAGTTTAAATAGAAATATTGGTGCCGAGATCTTTATTCTGGAGCTCGAGGGTGCGCGAGATCAAAAGGACAAGTTATTTACTGCATTTCATAAGCTAAATTTAACGTCATATGTGAATTTTATTTCGTTTTAAGCAGTATAACAATATTTATATGCGAACAAGATGTGCGCAATGCATATGTAAACAAGACGCCTGCCCAGGCGTTCACACTGGCCGGAAAATGACGACATACACGCTATGGTGTAATAGACAAGAGGGTGCGGTAGATACCATAGGTTTATGATTTTTAACATTACATTAATTAAAATCTCACCCAGTAAATTTGTAGTTTCATAATGACGTAAGTAATTGTTTAACTGGTTGAGATTTCCGTTTGGATGTTCTGCCTTGGATGAACTGAATGTGAAAATGCCAATAAGAATTATAAGAAACAAAATTGGTGTGGATAAACTACAATTTTTATTAGTAACTGTTGGATTAAAACATTTAAAAAAAATAGTATTACATAAATATTATATAAATATTATTACATTATTTGGTTAATTAAAATTGTTATTGTTATTGCCATATTGGGGTAATAGTTGGTTGTTTCCTATTATAATATATTATATATTAAAATTCTCACAGCTTGAGGTTTTCATTTGAGGTTTTCACTGGGAGTTCATGTTATTAAAGGTTTTCTGACAAATTGGGGAAAAAATATGATATATAGCTAAAAATCAATGTCTTGTGTGCCGATCATGTTGAATATTAATGTTGATAGACAATTGACAAAGATAATCAGTATTTTGACAACAAAAAGCAGAAACTGTTTGAGACGTAGAGTTGCACTTGGCATTCAAAGTTAAGTTGTTACTCAAAGTGAAGTTGTTATTCAAAGGTGACTTGGCATTTAAAGTTAAGTTGACATTCAAAAACGACTTCGCGTTCAAGGGTGACTTGGCATTCAAAGGTGACTTGGCATTCAATGTTAAGTTGGCATTCAAAAATAAGGCCTTGCCAAAAGACAACAAGGAGTCCTCTAACGGATATAGGTTGAGTGCTTCCTACAGTCCAGCGTTTTCTGTCAACGCCTCAGCTGATCATCCCCAAGACAAGGCTTCAGCTAGCAGGGTTGAAAACCTCAACCCCAGGGTTGAACTCGGCCCTGGGTTGAAAATTGTGTTGTGTAATCGTTTCAACCCAGGGCTGAAATTATTCATGAGCAAAAACGAAGGCTTTTTTTTACTTCTGGGAATCAACCCCAGGGTTGAATAGAGCTATGTGTGCCAGAATATGTGAGCCAGAATATTTTGCCGGAGCCAGGGTTGGAAAACTCCGGCATACAAAATTATGAAAAATTATTTCATATTTCAATGAACATTTGGTAATAAATGGAAAAATTAAGTCGTTGTTTACTAATATATTACTGTTTGTATGTTGTTTTACTATATATTACTATGTTGTTTATTATCAATAGTGTTGTTTACTATAAAATGCAATTTCTTGCTCAGTTGCTCCAATCTACTTCGGGGTTTCGGCTTTCAAAAATTCTGCAAGCGCATTTTGTTAGCTTCTGATACAAAAATCCGCTGACTCCATGCAGTTTTTTTTGGGTGACACGTTGAGAAGAAAGAGTCGTTGGTTGTTTTCACTCATAAAATATCCGTCTAGTTGATATATTAATTTGATTTAACAATGCATGGTTTGAAAAATGTGTTTAAAAAAGATAAATTCTGAAATTACACTGAGATACTTTTCCCAGCTTCCACTTTTAAATATGAAATTTCTTTAAAAATTCCTTGCCGGAGCTGAAGTTTTGACTGCTCGAGCTAAAATAACCAGTATTGGCACAGCTCTAGGGTTGAAATCGTCCATGTAATTAAATCGTTTATGTAATCACAAAAATTTTAAACCCGGTTAACAGGGTTGAGTTCAAGCCCCGGATTTAAAGTGCTCCATGTAATCGGCCCCTAATTCAGCTCAAATCACACTCAGATTGCAGAGCATCAGATTGTCGGAAACTCCGTCTCAAAATGATGTCAGCTAATTTCACTTTTGATAGTTGAAATATATAGGCATAATCATCTAAATGAATTTTATACTGGCGGTCCCTCCATAGTATTTTTACTGCCACATTTGACAAGCATGTTTAATACTTATACCTCTTAAAATGTGCAATGTACATAGTGAAAGTCTACATATATTTAGATACGGCAACTCTATTTAAATATTATAAATAAATATTAATAAAAGAAACTCGGACAGACCAGTTAAAGGGAATTTCACACTAGTATAAGCCACGACAACCTATACAGTTATTGATACGTATATTAAATTTTATGTCATGGACGATGCGTTTATTGATGTGCAAAATACCGAAATACAAATATAAAATATTCGTACAAATATTAATACAGCAACAAACATCGATTTATACTGGAAGAAGCTGACAACGTGGCAAAAATGATGATACTATAAATAGTACATTCAACCTCAAACGACTGAAACGAGTTGAAAATGATTCTCAAAAGTGACTTATTAGGCTCAAGTTACAACATGGAAATAGAATTAACTTAACAGTAAGTAAAAGTTTGTAAAACATACCTATTCGAGGTATGACGACCGGTAGATTAATCTTTTCAGCAATAAAACTTAAACACAAATCGTGAAGGACAAAATGCGAAGGCGTGAAAGACTTTTTAGCGTGGGTGGAATACGCAAAATTATGTTAAGTTATCTTGAAGAGATGTTTTCGTAATGTCCTCTGAAGTCTTTGAAGCGACCCAGATATTGCATTTCCAGAGACGTTGTGAAAAGAAAAGAGCATGTTAACTTCCACGAAAGTGCAGAGTAGGATAAATACAAAATCCACAGAAAAACACAGTAAAATTCGTTCACAAATGAAGAAATTGTTTCAGACTGAAATAGTCACTCATTGAATGGCCGGCATCTTGAAAACTGATCTGTATCGTAAACTGGGCCAAAACTGAGCCTGCGATGCGCTAACGCAAACTCGATTTCTCGACGACGAAAAAAACAGAAAAAAACAGAGATACGTGGGGATTTAAGACACTTGGCCACAGGCCCGTGTCATAAATATACATTTTCATCTTTTTCCATTTTTTGTTTTCTCTGAAAACCTGCAAGAAAAGATCTTTCTAGAAAATCTCATGTTTTGCAAATTTCTTATAATTATCATTTATTTACTGAGACCGAGAGAAACAGTGTTTTTGTGGACCCGAGACCGCCGTTGTTGCTACACTATTATAGCACCCACTCTATTATTGATCAGTCAATAAATCATGTTTCATTGCATACCGGTTGCCTCCTTTGCAAAGCACGCAGTAAACATGCATGACGTTTTGTGGACTGCCACGTGATACGTTTTTGACCAATAGTTAGGTGGCTTAACAAATTTAACGTTACCGGCGGGACAAAAGTACCAAATTTGGCATGGAGTTTCTTTTCCACCTATCTATTGATTTTATCCGTGGAACCCACTTGATCGGTCCCGATTTTCCAAGATGACGGTCAAAATCCAAGATGGCCGCCAGAAAAAAGGAAATGTCATATATCTGACTGTAAAAATCATAAATGAACAAATGAGGTGTTAATTCAGAAGTTTCCGGGGTCAATGAAACGGATGCTGGTCATAGCATGTTGCTCAATCAGCTCAGGCCACCAGTTTCCAAGATGGCGGCCAAATTTCAAAATGGCCGGCAAAACAAAAGGAAATTTCGCATATGTGGTGTGAAAATTGGAAATGAACAAAGATAATGTCCGAAAAAGGCTTACTTGGTCTGATTTCGCATGGTTATTATGACTTCTATAGTTACATATCAGCCTACATGTTAAGTGCACACTGGTCTATTCAGGAATTATATCTACAATGTTTCAATACAGTGTATCTCTACCAGACAATTCACAGTCGATGTATCCTATTTAGATGAACATGTACACCGATAAAGAGATGTGCAAGGCAGATTTGCCTTGCTGCATCTGCAGACTGTACAGGCCCTTTTGCAGTAACATTTCACGAATTCTCTGCACGCTTTAGACCCCTCGATCTGGAATGGTAGGAATTCACTTCATGAATCCTTCAAAACCCTACAAAAATATTCCTTCAAATCCAAATTTAAGAAGTATTTAATTAATTTTTACAATAATACCGGTTAACTTAGACTCGCTTTGTCTCACACAATGTCTCTTGTTTGTGCTTGTAATATGTTGTTCCGTTTATACCAGCTTCACTGTCTTCAAAACTAAGTAATTCATAGGGTATAAATATAAATGTCACCTGTCTAGCCTAGCCGCTAATGGTTATTACAGGTGACATGTACTTCTCCAATTGTTTATTTATTTGTCTTTTTTCAATAAATGTAAGATTGTAATACTTTGAAGAACAATAATGTTGTCGTCGTCGTCGTCGTCGTCGTCGTCGCCGTCGCCGTCGCGGTCGCCGTCGCGGTCGCGGTCGCCGTCGTCGTCGTCGTTGTTGTTAGACCAGACAAGTTCCCATGAGTTCCCAACTTTCAGCCACGCATATGCGATTGGACATGGATTCGTTTGTTGAGATAACATGGATGTTGTCCAGATGCCAGCCTGGTGGTGCATTCTGAGTAGGTGGTATCTTGTCAACAGCTTGGCTTTTCTGGCTGAACAGCTCAATCCGGGCCCTGTTAACATTTATGGTGTTACTTGTTTAATTTGTCATAAACTACGACAACTAGTCGCTCGATTCTTTGAAATGATTCAGAATGTAAGTCAAGAAGATAAACAAATGAATCAGTAACTTCATCATAAGCATTCAATGCCTGCCAGAACGTTTTCTTCCCTTTCCCTCTAAACGCTGATGTGGTATCAGATCCTGACAAGGAATGGAAAACGATTCAGTTCACGCTCGCCAAGTACGAGCAATGGCAATGCCCAGATTTCTATGGCGAGAAAGTCTATGTAGTTATGATAGGCGGATTCCACATCATACTGTTGGCGATTTATTAGATGGGTCAGATTGGATAACAGCTCTCACTGATTCTGAAGTTGCTTCACCTGGACAGTTGATTCATTGCTGGAAGTATCACACATTACCAGGACTCGGCATGCCAACATGGTCAATGTTCTTGTTAATTCTTCAGAGGCTACTGAATGAAGCATTCAACCAGAGATCTAATGTTGATGAGAGTTTGAGCAACTGGCTGGAACAAATGTGTAAGAAATTGCCCACGTTCAAGTTCTGGAAAATGATCGCACACTATGAGATTCTGATTCTCATGTTTGTTAGAGCCCTTAGGGAGAGAAACTTCCCATTGCATGTTACTGTATTAGACGCACTCGTACCATTGTTCTTTGTGTTAGACCACGTGAACTATTCTCGGTGACTGCCTGTACACATCAGAGACATGAAGGCGCTGCCACAAGAGATCAAAGATGAGTTTAAAACTTGGAATCACTGGACAATCGCAAAGTTGTCACACAGATACTCTGCGATCCCAATCGACCAAGCGCATGAGCAGGAGAATAAAGTGGTGAAAGCATCCGGTGGTGCAGTAGGGCAGTAGGGCTAACTAAGAATCCAGTTGCCTTCAGACGCTGGCTAACCGCTGGACCCGAGCTGGCCAGACTTCTGAGTCAGTTAGAGGATGGATATCTTCATGACGATGATCCGCAAACCCCCGCTAACTTCGAACGCCATGAACAGGGACTTGCAGCACAGAAAACCTTTCAGCGACAAGTTGATAGCCTATCTAACACAATACGCAAGATGGGAAATCCCTTCCTGAGTGACTTTCCAGAGTTGGTAACTCTTGCAGTTGTAACTGCGCAAATGAGGCGGTAGTGAATACAATCCGTACACTGGAAGACATGGATACAAAGAAGTATCAAGGGCATGTGATGAGCGTGCTCGTGGATCGGAGTCACTCCATACATGATATGATCTCAAAGAATTCACTTCCCCTGTTCTCAACAAAGCTCGAACGATTGCAAGAAAGTAAAGGTGCTTGAGAACAATGTGGCACTCTTCGGCCAGTTATACAACTCCTTACAAAATAGAGATGGAGACATCAGTGAATTTTTTGCACACGAATCTGCAGGTACCAAATGTCATTGTTACAGTGTATCGCGGAACCAGACCAGACAGAGGCACCTGTATTATATGATTGCAAAGTTCTGGATGGTGCGGTCACAGTGCATGCATTGCCTGTAATAAATGTCTCAACATCCCAGGAATATGCTGACAACGTGTTTATACCCCAGCTGCGTGACACAAAGTGAGTGGATATTGTGTGGGACGAATACCGGCTAGATAGCCTGAAAGAGGGAACCAGGGAGAAATGAGGTTAAGGTGTGCGTAGAAAAGTATCAGGTGACACCAAGCTGCCGGGCAACTGGAATGACTTCCTCCGTGATCCAATCAACAAGAAGGAACTCTTTGAATTCCTGTCATCAAAAGTTGCGGATTGCATCATCCCTCCTGAGTGTTTGATACATATCACTGCTGGAGAGCATGTTAAATATGTTGGAACCCAGATCGAAATGTCCAGTTGCAATCAGGAAGAAGCAGTCACTAGGATTGTGGTTCATGTGAAACATGCTTTGGAGAACGGAGCAAAATCCATCCAGGTGCGAACTGTGGACACAGACGTCGTCGTTGTTCCTACCGGAGTGTTTCATGACCTCTCTCAGATAATGCTGATCTTGATCTCTGGGTAGCATTTGGAACTGGAAAGAACAACACTCGTTACAGCATCAACGCCATTTGTGTCCATCTTGGTGAACGTAAATCACGTTCCCTGCCGTTTTCCACTCCTTGTCAGGTTGTGATAGTAGATTAATGTTTAGAGGGAATGGGAAGAAATCGTTCTGGCAGGCATGGAATGCTTACGAGGAAATTACTGATGCCTTTGTTCATCTTGCCGCACATCCGTTTGAGCATCTTGACTTACATTCTGAATCATTTCAAACAATCGAGAGACTAGTTGTCGTAGTTTATGACAAATTAAACAAGTAACGCCATGAATGTTAACAGTGCCCGGATGGAGCTGTTCAGCCGGAAAAGTCAAGCTGTTGACAAGATACTACCTACCCAGAATGCACTACTCCAGCACACTAGGAGGGCAGTATACCAGGCTGGCATCTGGACAACATCCATGTTATCTCAACAAACAAATCCATGTCTAACTGCATATGCGTGGCTGAAAGTTGGGAACTAATGGGAACCTGTCTGGTCTACCATTCTAGAGGCGTCTAAAGCGTGCAGAGAATTCGTGAAATGTGGCTGCAAAAGGGTCTGTACAGTCTGCAAATGCAGCAAGGCAAATCTGCCTTGCACATCTCTTGTCGTTGCACATGTTTATCTAAATAGGATACATCGACGGTAAACTGTCTGGTAGAGATACATTGTATTAAACATTGTAAATATAATTCCTGACTACTACCAGTAGTATGTACTTAACATGTAGGCTGATATGTAGCTATATAAGTCAGAATAACCATTCGAAATCAGTCCAAGTAAACCTATTTCGGACATTATCTTTGTTCACTTCCGATTTTCACACCACATAATACGAAATTTCATTTTTTTGCCGCCCATTTTGAAATTTGGCTGCCATCTTGGAAACTGGTGGCCTGAGCAACATTCCATGACCAGCATCTGTTTCATTAATCCCGGAAACCCCTAAATTGAGACCAAAATTGTTCATTTATGATTTTTACAGTCAGATATATGACATTTCCTTTTTTCTGGCGGATATCTTGGATTTTGGCCACCATCTTGGAAAATCTGAACCGATTAAGTGGGTTCCACGGATAAAATCAATAGATAGGTCGAAAAAAAACTCCATGCCAAATTTGGTACTTTTGTCCGGCCGGTAACGTTAATCCTCAAAATTGTTGCTAAGCCACCTGACTACAATTGACAAGTAGAAGAATGGAACTTTGACACTAACTATATAACAAAATATAGTATATGCATGATAAAATTTCTGCCTGGCCTGGTAGAATACCAATATTTCAGGCCTCATCCATGTATGTTTATATTTTCAGTTTGCATGGTTAGCAGAGAGCCAGTCTGATAAGAGAGATATCACTATGTATGGAAAAGATTAAATGTCGATTACAACTTAGAAGGACAAGCATTTTCCCCTATAAATATACCAAACAAGCTGGCCAGGTTGCCAAGCCTTTTTATGAACATGTTGATTTTTGTATAGTAGTCGTAGATATTAGCAGACAGATATACTGGTTGGTTTTAAAAATGATAAAAAATAACTTGGACCTGGCACTTAAGGCCCTGTTCACGTGATTCCGGGATTGACAACTGCCCCGCGACAAGTCATTGACCCGGGGTACTGATATCTTCTGTTCGTATGAACAAAGCTAGCGCGGGTCATGCCCATAAATACATTACGCGGGAATCATATAATATTCCCGCCAACGTGAAACGGTGAAATATTGTTAAAGGTAGGTTACAGTCGCATCTGCGCATGTGCTGGACTTTGTTTACGTATTTTGTTTTGATCCACATTAATTATATAAGATGAAGTATATGACGAGTTCAAAGTAACATTACACATAATTTGTGACCGAGGAGTGCAATGTTTTACAATACTTCGCTGCATCTCTTGTACATTTCTACACTGGAAATTTTTGTACACAATAAAACAATCTTATACTGTAACTTTTTAACTGTAAACATCGTGAATAAAGAGGCCGCTTTGAACCTTGGGTGACTTGACACAAGGTGTGAGTTCGAATAATTTGTGTTTAGTGTTTACCTTTGGAGTTTGTGTCTAATCGCGAAAATAGTTCATGCGGTATCAATCCCTCGAAACATTTTGCCAGAGTTGTTGTTGTCATTATGACAGAAGCACTTGGGGAAAGCTTTTCGCTTGACGAAATTCGAAACAAGTGTGATTGAGAATGTGGCTGCAGTTCCTGTCTTCGTGGCAAAGCCAAGGGCGAAATTTTTGACCGTGCAAAAGCTGGATAAACAGCTTTTGGTCAAGCTCGTGCGCGCTATGGAGATAATTTTGGATGCTGTTTTAATATAAACAACAGAAGACTTAGAAGAGTTCAATAGATTGACAGTGACGAGAGTACGAGACGCTAAGATTATATTCAACTTTTTTGTGTTATAAAAATGTATGTTTCGAAATTATGAACTGGAAGTATGAATTCATTGATATTACTCTCATATTGACACTAAATGATGATATTCTTGTGACACTGAATGATCTAATATTAGCTTCAACAATTCTGGTGATCAGGTTACTTCATCATGTCTCTTCAAGACGGAGGACAATTGCTAAATATATCTATATCAGAGCTCATCAGAATGTCCAGGAAACACTGATAAAATTTTGATTTACATCAACGAATCTTTCTTTTTTTAACAGATTTATTGTGTTATATGGTAATATATAAATATATATATATATATATATATATATATATATATATATATATATATATATATATATATATATAGATGAAAATGTTCTAGAGTGTGTATTATATAATTTCCATACCCAGCGCAAGCAGAAAGATGTTGTCTGCCTCGGCTGGGTCTCGAACCCGCGACCTTCGAATTACTAGATCGACGCTCTGCCTACCTACACGGTCAGACGGATTTAAGACTGGAACATAACACTTGCAGAACTAGTGTTGTTCGATGCTGAATTAATATAAACGAGTATGTTTATGACAGCGTCGATCTAGTAATTCGAAGGTCGCGGGTTCGAGACCCAGCCGAGGCAGACAACATCTTTCTGCTTGCGCTGGGTATGGAAATTATATAATACACACTCTAGAACATTTTCATCTGAACATATTACAGAGTGTACAATTACACAACTAACATATATATACATATATACATATATATATATATATATATATATATATATATATATATATATATATATATATATATATATATATATATATATATATATATATATATATATATATATATATATATATATATATATATATATATATATATATATATATATATATATATATATATA